GAAATACATGGTTTGATCTACTCCCCCGACAACTTGCTTCCTGTTGTACTCTTTGCAAAATTGTAATGTTGCCATCAATTCCAGAAAAAGGCATATAAAGTCATTAGAAGTGGGGTGTACATCTGTGCCCGAAAGGACAACTCAGGCTGTCAAGTAGGTGCTAACATGAGTACAACCATCACAGCTCAAGTCCTGGCTTATCAGCAAAACCACAGTGATTTTGTGACACAATAATCTTTGCTTGAATAATAACTATTTGTCAAACAACAAAAGCAGAAAAATATTTCTTATTTGCTGAAGCATTTCAGATTTAAAGGAATTGAAACCTCCTTTTTTAAAAATTATTTGGTCAAAATAAATACACAACATTCTGCAGTAATTAAATTATTTCTTTCCTTCAACCACTTTTTTCCCCTACTATTCATCTGACAATACTGTTTCTTTGTTTTAATATTTTAGGTTGCTCTAGATAAAATATTACTTTAGTTGTTTTTTTTTTTTAGGATCTCTTTTCCTCCTTAATTAGAGTATCAAAATCACAAAAACTTTCACAGGTTAGAGAAACTGTACAATTAGCAGTCAGAATCACTGGAATGTAGCTTGGGGAATCAGAAAGGAATACTCCTGCTGACTGTGTGTTTTCTGACAGCCATCTGTGAAACTTTCATCAATGATGTTCATTGTTCTGTCTACATTACATCTGTGTCATAAAAGTGTCTTTAATACTTTAAAGATACTGGGAAAATTCCACTACATGCAATACCCACTGACATTGAGCACACCACTTCAGTGTGATACATTATTAGAAAAGATAACTACCAGTCTGTTCAGCTGATATTCAGACATGAAATGAAGTCATATCATTCTAAAACAGGGTCAAATGAATTCACAGTCATAGTGAACAATTGTTCACTCTCATATGCACGATGTTTTTTATTATTTCCTCCTTTAGGCATCTTGTAAATGAAGGACTGAAATTTCAACTCAATTGCTTTCAGAGGACTAAAGCTATTATTTTGTCTTTTGTGTTTATTTATTGTATGACATTTCTTTTGGGTTTTTGGTGGTTTTGGGGTTTTTTTTAGTTTATATTACTGAAATTGTAAAACTGCGCTGGTATGCCAAAAATATAAAAACTGTGGGCAATACAGTGAAAAGTCTAAATGGAATATGACTGAACAGAATGTATTTAAGAACTAAACCAACTTCATAATCAGCATGGAGGTACTTCAGTAATGATGCAAACTTCTCAGAGAACCAAACACTCAGTGGATGCATGCAGTTGGCAGAAGTTACAAGAAAAAAATACAATCTACTCTGTAGTTCCCAAAGGTTTTGTGCAGCATAGGGAAATGGACAGACAGAAATCTTTGTACTTAGTACAGAAATACTTAGTACAGTGACTGTTCCCTCCTGCGAGCAAACAGCCAGTCTCACTGTTAAAAGTTTTGCTTTTAGTTACGTGAGCAAGAAATTATTTTAGCAAGAACTTAGAATTTGAAAACACAATACTCATAGCTAAGACAGCCATTTAAGCTAAAGCTCGAGGAAAAAATATGTTGTGGGTTTTTGTTTTGTTTGTTTTTTCCCATACAGAATCTTTGGGAAGTTGTTATACCTGACCAAATATATGCATATATATATATATGTATATATATTAAATACATGTATTATATATATATATATATATATATATATCTTTTTGCTAGTAGTAAAATGTATCTTGAAGAAAAGAGGTTATGGACATACCCAACTACTGCAGCCAAGGGATCTACAGGGGTGCCTGGGATCCACAACACAAGTACGTGTGCACAGTACCTATTATCCAAGATTTCCAAAGTCCAGTAATTTCTACTGACATTCTACTGACAAAGAAGACTTTCCAAATTTCCTTTCTCCTGTCCTCTCTCCCCTAAGCTCTGCAGGCAGGAAGTCCCTCCCTTCCTCCCTCCTTTCTCTCTCTCCCCATTAGAAATGTCACTACCCCATCTGCTGCCCTGAACCCACTCGTGCTGGCAGGGACTCGCGGGCAGAACGAAGGAGCTGAAGTCATTCAGCAAAATGTGCTACACAGACCCTTCCAAGGCAATTGCTAGCACTTTCCACCAAGGAAAAATGTTGTGCAGAAGGGATTTATGCTGCTATGGTTCTCCTTTGATGCCTGTAAGACAGATCAAGACACATCTGTTGCATCATTAAATCCAACTCCTCCTTGCTGCAGGGACCATGTAGTTTATTTGTTCCAAGTGTCTGTGCTTTGTGTCATCCAAGTTAAGTGGTGACCTGCTTGCCTCCCGGAACACAAGAGATGCTGCTGAAATACCTGAATAACATGGAATTATCTTTGTGCATCTATCTCAAATGATGTTACAAATTCAGCCAGCAAATGTACATGTTATTGTGGTCAGCAGACTTTCATAATTTCATAAAGACTCACTTGAAATTATGAATACTTTATGGCTTTTATCAAATAAAACTGTAATAACACATCTCAAAATGTGCAGTCTTTTTGGAAGCCACATTGTACAGGAACTGCTTCTTCTCATAATTACATATTTGGCAACAGAGGGTGAGGGGGTGAAGAAAAGCTCTTTTCCCATCTGCAGAAAATCCTGACAGCCTCTTGAAAACAACAGTAATGAGGGAGAGAAAAAGAGGTATTTGTGAAGGCTTTAGATATTAATTTCACACAAATATGCCCAACACAAAACCTTCCTTGATTTACTTTTGTTTGCACGGGAGGAGGCTTTGCACATTTCACTGGAACTCCTGGCAAAATACAAGGATCTCAGGGCATGTAGTTCTCACAGAATATTTTGAGAAAGAAAATCTTAGTTGGTGTTTTATTTCACAGTATTCACACCATTCCAACTCTAGACAGAGGCAGAAAATGAAGAAGCAAAAAATGGATCTAAGTTTACTGGACCAATAAAGTGAAGAAAAGGGAAATATTCTGATTAGTCTTCATAGAGCCCAAGTGGCTCACTTCATCCTAAAGAAACTCCTCTTTGCCATGGAGCCCTGAATATGGGCTCAGGGAAGTTTGGAAAGGAAATAAGTGATAACTGTTGTCAGCTCTGGACAGCAGCAGAAGGAAGGAAAGAAAATCTTTTAAGAACTCTGTCCCAGGAACCAGACATGAAGAGCAAAGCTTTGCCTTCAGCTCAGCCCTTCACCCTACAGTATCACAGCAATTTCAGGGTAAGCTGTTTGCATGATCCGATGCTTTACAAAATCCGATCTTTACAAAATCTGTATCCTCTTGTCCAGGGGAGAATGTCGTGTGGCAGTCACCAGCATTGGAATAAGTGGAAATTTCCAGTCATAGAAGGAGAAAACTTGAGGCCTTTGAAAAGTCTTTGCTTTATAAAGTGTGGCTCCTGCACTCTGCCTTGCTGTCCTATCTGCCGTCATGTACAATTATAACCTTTCAGCTGAAGATCTACATTAAAAAAGTCTGCAAGGCAAGATACTGAGTGCCTATGCTTATCTGTAAAGATCTCTATTCAGAGACAGAATTTCTATTTATACCTTTACATGTACTGTAAATTTTCTGTAATATCCATAAAGCATTAGAACATGCTTATGTAAAATAGAGCACATGAATGTCTTTGATCTCCAGAAGTGTTAATCTCTCTTGTGTTACTTGCTGCTTAATAAATAAAATATTTCTTTTAACACCCCAAATAATTCAGGCCAAAAAAAACCTCAGGACACCTTGTCACTGAAGATGATTTTGAGACTTTTGGTTGCTGGATGCCATGAAATGTATACACAGGGACATGATAAGGTAAGACTGTTCCTTAGGTCAATACTTTGAAACAGACACTATTTGAAATAAAAGTAAGTATTGCTTGTCATGCTCTCAGGCTGTGTTTTGATTGGTATTTCAGGTTAGGAATAAATTGATCACAACTGTAGTAAATCAGCTCAAACACAAGCAGAACATGCTGCAATACTCCATCTTGGACTACTCCTGGAATGGTCTGTGGACCAAGTGAAAGCACAGATGCTTTGCCATCATCACTTATATGTAATCATGGCTTCTTATATTCTGTCATTATGCAGTTCTACTTCTGTTTTTATTGACTCTTAATCATTTTGCTTTATTTAGCCAAACTACCTATGATTAAAACCAAGTTTTAAATGGAATATCTACAAACTTGGGTGTGGAGTTTTTCCTTGAGTTTTCTGATACCAAGTTTGAAAAACATCTTTCTTTCTGCATAAAGTGAGATTAAAAGCTTCACTTCTTCTAATTTGCATGCTTGGTATTTAACAGTCTGAAAGAGGTTGGTTTGTTCTGGCTTTTAATTTTTTCCAGGCATTTGGAAGCGATCTGCTAGACAGCATGAACTGGTAGCCAGCACAATGTGCAGCTTCAACAGTGTCCAGCTAGTTGGGGAAAAGTCTGAACTCACTAAATTCACCAGCCCTGCTGTCTGGGGGCTGAGGATGGAAACAGAACAGCCCTTTTCCTAAGGACCAGATCTCATACTCCACCAAAGCCTGACTGAAGGTCTGGGGTGCAGAGGAGCAACAGAGAGGGCAGGGGGGTACTCAGTGTCAGCTGCCCAAGAGGTAAAAGCTACAGGAAAACTTTGGAAATACCTTAGAGGAATAACTGAGGAATAGATCAACCTGTTGTGTGACACCACCTCCTGCTTCTGAAGGACACAGTTTGTGTAGCCTCTGCCTCTTGGACTCTGAGCAAGAGCTAAAAACATTCTAAGGGATTGCAGCTGCAGCTCTGGATGACAAAATTCAGCTGTACCGTATCAGTGTAACTGGAAAAAAAATGGGTTCCACTTTGGATTTTATCCACATCAGCTACTACCACATAACAAATTATTACTCCTCTGTTTCAGCTTGGTGTAAACAGTGCAGAACAATATGAAACATCTGAAGAAACATCAGAAAATAACAGGAGAAAAAAAATCTCTTAAATTGATTGTACTAACAAGTTTTATTGTTACAAGAAAAGAAAAAAACTCAAACAAACCAAAAAAACATCCCCCACCACCTCACAGCAGGGTTCCCAAATTCAATTGCTGTGTTGTTTTAAATTGAATACTGATGAACTTTTGATTCTGGCACTTCAAAATTTCAAAACTTCTTGATTACTTTAGCTCAGCCTGAAGCACTCAACTTTATTGTAACTCAAGGCACAGCACCAAAATGCAGGACCAGCCTGCCATCCAGTCAGGGTAATTCCATGGATTAATCAGGATGCCTGATTCCCAGAAATTTTGGGCACATTGGCTGAGCAACTGATTATGACTGTGCTACAAATGAGAAAGACTATATTTTATAGCTTCCCAGACAGCACATGATGTGTTCTGCCTCAGGAAGTTCAGTGTGCATATTACTTCACAGCTTGGATCCCAGTCGCTCACAGAAGTGACCTCCATATTCTGGAATTATTTGAGAAGTTTGTTGCACTCAGAAAGCATCTTATTTCACTATCATGGTAAAATTCAAGCATATGAGCATATTATTCTCAGAATCATCAGAGAATCCTTGCACAACAATACTATAATCGCCCTAAAACAAGGAAGAAAAAAAAAAAAAGAAAATTAGTCCACAATACTGCCTGCTCTTGTCTAAGTGGCTTCTTGGAATGATTCTGGTGATTTCTGTTAGAACTGAAAAAGACACATTCCCATCAGGGACTGTCCTCATAGGTATAGTCAGGTAAATGAGTGCATAAAAATAAAACAGTGTTCACCTTCCTTCTCATGGCCAGCCTGCTCAGGAACAGCATTTCCTGGTCCAGCAGAGTCCCACCAGGAAGTGTCAGGTCTACCATGAGTTCCTCAAGGATAGGAGGAAGCTCATGGCAGAGGATGTTCCTGTCTGTTACAAGCTCTGGGGCTACAAGGTCTCTTGGACTGTTGAAGGCCCATGAGGTAAGGAGGATGGTGGAGATTTTGGACCAGTAGGAGTTCCCTAGTGACATAAACCTGAGGACTGGTGCTGCCCCTGGTTTAACAGTAGAGAGCTGCTTTTACTTTTTGGATACTGTTATCCCATTTCAAATCTTTGAAAATGGTTTCATGGAGTAAAAGAGCAGCATGTGAAGAAAATGTAAAATAAAGAATGAAACGGGGAGAAGGAATATGAATGAATTTACTCAAACAGGTAAAAGGAAAGAGAATAATTTACCAAACAAAATTAAGTCATTAAGGTGACATTAACTGATTACTTTGGTCTTTTCTTTTATAAAATAAAGGAAGAAAGAGGAATAATAACCTTAGAACATCTAGCATTTCAGAGATGCTACCATTTTATTGTCATCAATTCTATTATAAGAAAGTTTTCTGACATTTCCTCTTCTGTTTTCTACAGTTTGGCTGAACATCTTTCTTCAGAAAAAAGTATACCTGTAAGCATGTGATTTTACTATTATATAAAACATTGCAAAGTACCTTTGGAAATTCTAATCTTGAGCCTTTAATGTCAAATGCTGAGTCAAGTGTTTCTGAAAAACAGAGATAATTATAATACAAAGAGTTACTTAACCATAAAGCCATCAATCAGACAGCTTAAATAATTTCAAAGCAATATGGAATATCTCTGAGCAGCAGTTGCCAATGTCACTTACTTTTTCACTGATAAAGCCCTCATCTGGTTCTTCTCTCAGAGCTCTGACTTTTTGTTGAAACCACATCAGAAAATAGAAATTAACCACAGTGCTCCTGCAACATCTCCTCCAGACAAATCCTACTGTGATAACTCCAGTAATTTAACTTGTAATAGTAGTTCACTTGAATGGTAACTGAAGAGAGCTAATACTGATTCTTAAAGAAAGGAAAACAGACTCTATTTTGACATCCTTACAGGTCTTTTTGGCCTTTAGTCTGACATCCTGCCTGGATTCTCTGAATCTGAGCATGTATTGTGTTAATACTTGTTAGCCCCTACTGAAGGATTCACTCTTCTCTATTGGAAAAAAAAAAAATCATCATCCTACATAGGTGTATAAAATCTCTTAAAAAATCCATCCAAACACATATCTAAATAAACTTTGTTCTGGATATTAGTCGTGCCCACAGTGCCTGTCAAATTTCCTGTTCAGTCCAGTCAAATGCAATCTTTCCATGTCATTTTAGAGATGTTCAGAATAAGTGTCATCATCAGATGAAGGATATTAGTAATACTCATTTATGGAGATGGAAACTGCAGTACAAAGATGTTAAAATAAAGAATTTGGGTATTTCCTACTTCACTGGGATTCTGGCACTGGAGAATTGCCTGCTCTGAGGTCTGCTGCCTGCCAAGCAAGGTCTAGATTGTGGGGACAAAACTGTGTTTGCACGGGTTGATTGCACCATGTATTTTCACACCAACCTCCTTTCAGCGTTCCGCACAGTGAGTATTCATCGTCAGCTCCGCTGCAGAGGAGCTCCTTCCAGAGGAGTGCTTTGGCACCATCATACCAGACATTGAAGACAATCTTCAAAAAGTGAATGTCACTTCCTAATGAAAACATGGCAAGTAAGAAAATGGTAACTGATGGAGAGGAAAAGTGTATATGGAGACATGCTCTTTAGATAAAAACTAGATTTAGTCAAAATACTGTATTTTTGTAAGACTTCCCCAAAATTAAAAAGGTATGTGTCTTGAAAACTTCTACTTCCAGAAGAAAAAGGAAAAAATCTATTGTTGTTTTCAACAACAACAAAAAATTATTCTTAAAAAATATTTGGGAGAGAAATTTCAAAGTCTGTTTTAATTTCTTTAGTAAAGGAAGCAGAGTTCATTCAACTCCACAGCTACCCTAAACATGTGCTCAAATGAAGACCTTAGTTTTAAGCAGGTGTTGCAAATGTCACAGACATCTTTTCATTAAAATCCTTTTGTTAGGATTTTTCCTGCTGAAGCTGAGAGGTTTCAGCAACAAAGTGTAAACAACGGTTATCTGCTGCTGTGGAATGCAACAGGTGGATCCGTGACTGTCTCCTGTGGATGTTTGGATTTACTGACCACTCAAGGCAGAGCTGGGTCTCACTCTCTGCTGAGACACAGACCTTTGTTATTCATTCCTTTGCTATTCTTAGCTTAGCTAGCCTTCTGAGAACTTTTCCTTCTATTCCTTTTAGTATAGTCATAATGTTATGTATATATAATAAAATAATAAATCAAGCCTTCTGAACATGAGGTTAACATTCTCGCCTCTCTCTCACCCTGAAGACCCTTGTGACCACTGTCACATTGCAAAGAAACTATCATAAATGCATCATAAAAATGTCTTTCAAGGGAAGTAAACCTAATGCAGAAAGGGAAGTTTATGATACAACCAGATCCTAAACATTTCATTAGCTGAGCTTGCTGCCTTAAAGGTGGGTTTAAAGATCACAGTTAGGTTTGCACACAAAATGCAGTACCATTCCCAGCTTCTGGAACATACATATTCTTCATAGAAGTCCTGCCATATTTGGAGGGCCTGATGATACTCTCTCTCCTTTAAAAGACCTGGATCTTGTCCAGGCCACAAGACCAAAATACACATACACCTAAACTGCCACAGATTTGCATTTACAGTGACAGTCCTGCGTGCAGGGCTCTGGTAACTGCTCCAACTAAAACTCAAACACATTTCACAAATCATCATTTCTGTCCATCACTGTAGTTTATCTGTTCCATTTTTAACCCCAGAAATCAATTTCCTAAATCACATGGCATTTAGGATGAAGTGTCAGTCTTTCAGTTGTATTTCATTTTCAGCATTTCCAGAATATAATTGTCTGGTTAAGAGACACTCACTTGGAATCCAGGTAAGAGCAGCCTTCCAGACAGGTTTGTTCCTTGTGCTGCAAGGTGTCAGATTAAACTTGAAAGAATGAGCTGTAGAATCTACAGGGGAAAAAAAATCATTTCACATTGATAGTGCGAATAGGTTTCTCCATAAAATAATAAGAATATACAGTTATACAAAAACCACATACATATTTTTAAATGTATTTAAGTTATATGCCATAAAATTGCTCAATAGAATATGTGTGGTAAATATTAAACATGTTTTTAAAATTATGTTATTATTTTTTTTACATTTAAAGGGCAAAATCAGTATCATATTTCTTTAAGTAAAGAGAAGTAAATTTTTGGTTGATGATATTTTGCACACAAAAAAACAGAGACAAAAGTACCTTTACTTCTCTTTTGAAGATATAAAACCTCTTTATTAGCACTAAACCAGCATGGTCTTCTACTGAAAATATCCCTACTTATGCTAATCATGCTGACAAGAGCTAAAAATATTTTTAATGCATCAGCAAATTTTCCAGGTAATGTAAATGAACCTTTAAGTAGATTTGCTCTGTGACTTACCCACCTTGCATTTTTAAAACACACAAAATATCAGCCCATGACACAGACAGGGCAAGGAGGGACACACCATGCTGTCTCAGAACCTGATTGGTACTGCAGCCTGAGAGAATATGACATTCCCTCTTTTTTTTTTCACATACTTCAAGCTTTTCATTGTAACATACTGGTTAACTCAATAGGTATAATTTATACAACAGAGTACTTGCAAAACTAGTTTAAATCCATTATCTTCTAATATTTTCTGAACAAAAACATGCCTACTTGACTTGAGAATAAAATTCTCTCTCTCCTGGCTGCTGGAACCAGCCTTGTGGTAAGATTTGCCTATGCCTATGAAGTAAAATTCTTATAACAGAGGGATTAATAATAGAAATATACTTCTTGTTCTTTTTCTGTATTTCTCAAAGAAACAGAGAAAGAAAAGAAACAAATTTAAAAGAAAACTCACAATCCCTCAGACTACAGTAATTATTCCAGAAATTTAACAAAAGGATTACCTATTTTTTTACTTACCACAAAAAGTATACGACATTTCAAGATCTGATGATGTACAAATTAATTCACTGACTCCAGGGGTAAATAAAATGAAAAAGAGGAGTCCAAACATAGTTACTTTTTTTTGCTCAGTATTTGATGGTATAAAACTTCACTTGGGAGAAAGAGGAAGAAAATTCAGCACAGTCATCATCAGTCACATGTCTTCGGGGAAAGTTCTGCTATTTATCAAATTCTCTGCAACCTTTGTTAATTCTGCTGCAGCACTGTCATTTATCATCACAATAAATTTTGTTAAGAAAAAGAATTCCTGCTTTTGTTGTTACATTTTCCCCAGACAGTGCAGCTGAAACCAAGAGTGAAAAACTAAAGAGAAAACTGTGTGAAATGGGGAAGTGGAATGACATTATGACTACCAGAAGCACGTAATGAGCAAGTTTAGTTGAGTCATCAGGGGTAAGATTTTTAAAGGCATAATTTCAAACACAGAGTTTCCTGCACATATTAAAGAAGAGAAAAATCCACAGCTGATGAAAACCAAGTCCATTCTTTTATTTTTATGGTTAGCCAGTACCTCTCACTGGTTTTCATGTGAGCTTCTTACAAAGCTCACTATGCTTTAAGAATACACCAGACATCTGAAGGAATGTAATTAGATCAAATGGAGCTGAATGCAACCATCTGATGCTATGATGTGCACAAAAACCATGACTGATTGTGCCCAGAAATGGGGGAAATTCCTAGATTAATTAAGGAAAGGGGAAATTGAATTCAAGGTGCCTGAAAGTACCAAATAAGTAACTACTACATGAAATAATTTACAAAATAAGACAAAAATTTGAAAATTTAATGCAGCTAGAGAATTCCCTTCAGTATTTCCAAATCTTTCTATAGACCACAAGAAGAGTCCCACTGGCCTGACAGAGTCCAAAATTTTAAGAAATTCTCAGTATTTGGCTTTTAAGTGGGAATTCAAAATTATATCACTTTCCTGACAGGTCTCCAGAGTACATACATCACACACAGATTTTTGCTGTTGTTTAACAGGATGCTATAAAACATCCTTGTGATCATAGCAATAACACAGTTCTGTTTCAAGATGGACAAATTTTGCTTAAAAATAGTAAGACACACAGTGAAATTGAAATAAATCAGGAAGGCTGTAATAGTTGGGAAAAAGAAATGCAGTAGTGAGACAGTCACAAAGGAGCTGTGAAACAGCTACGAAAGAAGAGCTACCTTTTGCACATACAGCCAAAAAATATTCCTTTCAGCCACGAAGCCATGACCAGTGGTGTGAAGGAGTTTAACCTGTGAGAAGCCAAGCCAGGCTGTCTGCCGAGTCTTCATCAGTCCAACAGGTTTAGCACAAGTCCCAGGTCAGTCTGAAGTAGGCAGGGGGTGGCAGTGACCATATCCCACTGATACACAAGATTTCCCAGCTGAACTCGGGTCCCTCTGTGGCCAGACTTGGTCTGGCTTTGCTGCTCAATGCGTTGGGCGGCTGACGCACTCATGGGCAGAGTGGAAAGAGCACTGCAGATTGACAAGATTTTGCATAAAGCTCTCTTAATATGAAAGAAGACAAACTCTCTGCTGAATTGACTTTCTAGACCTGGTTCGGGCATGGGTGTTTCTTTCAGATACTTGCTGCAGAAAAGTTATAGATGAGGAATGAGTCCCCCCTGGTGGCTCAGACAGACAGACACATGCAGAAACCTCCTGCTCCTTCCTTATTGCACTTTTATTGCACAAGACTACTCAAATGCTTTAAAAAGCCAGTGTAAGAAAGCTCAGATTTAAAGTATCTGGCTGGCTAAATGGGAAAATAGGAACAATAAGTACTACTGGTATCATAGATAAAATATCCCTTATGACCATGATTATAAAGCCTACAACCTTGACCGCTGTGTTTGGTCAAACTGTCATTAAATCAAAATAACCTTAATTATTTTTAAATGCTTTCAGCAAATTCTGTTTTAGATGCTTGTGGCGTTTCATGCCAATATCAATGCTGTTCATAGAAGTGACAACTTGTGATGATTACTAAAGTCCCAAACCAGTGCACTAATAGTGTGAAGAGTCTGTTCTGTTCCTTTCAAGCCAGTATGAGGATCACTGCAGATTATAAAGTTCTATACACTTTAATTTTACTAAATCTTTTTTCTTTACTATAATCTTTTTCTTATGTATTCCAACCCAGAAAGAAGGCAAAAAGGAAGTGGAAAGAGCTACACAATAATGTTACTTCACTGAGGTTTTGTCAGTGAAATATTTCATTTATTTCGAAATCCTCTGCAAGTAAATTCTGTAGGAACCAGCTCTCATGTCCAATTAACAGTACATAAATTCAAGTCTAAAGAATTTAGAACTTCATACCTATGACTTTTAATTTTGCTACATCTGAGATATTGGGAACAGAAGTTTATTCCAAGGTTCCTCTCTGATTTGTGGTTAAAATCCTTAAAATAATTCATGATATTTTTATCTTCTTTCCCAATGCATCCAAGAAGTGCTTAACTTCCTTTATGATTGCTTTTCAAAATAATCACTTTGTATTTGGATTGTTGGCTGCAGATCAGTACATTGACCAGATGAGCACTTATAAGACATTAAAATTCCCTCTGGAAAGATTTATAATATGCATGATCGTAATATCCCATCACAGAAAAATAAATAATAGTACACCAATACACCAAGGGAAAGTACTCAATTTCAGAGTGTTAGACAGAATTAAAGATTATATCCTATCCTTTGCCATGTAACAAAATTTCACTTTAATGGAAAACTCTTTTAAGACATTAACCACATTTATTAAATAAAGAAAGAGGCAATAATAATTTTCTTTGTAGGACCATTTGTGAGTTTTTGAAGTAAATAGTTTTTCACCTGGAAGCAGACATTTATTCCTACTGATTCTAGGTTTAGGGTTGATGCTGGAGGCACCATAACGTAAAAGGGACCTATATAAGGCATAAGACTGCATTCACAAAATAAAAATACACTCAGCTATCAGCATGAAGAATAGAAAACTGTGGACTCTTCTCAAATCCCCTCACCCTATCTTTGACAATTTTTATAGTGAAAGTAGCAAGTCATACCCAGGGACACAATAAAGATGTAGAGGATTAATTTCCTCTACAGGCAACTAATTAAATGTTTGAGAGTGCCATAGGAGTCCAAACCAAGAACAGGGCACTGGAACATATCCAGTGGAGCATTGGTTGCATTTGAGTAAGAAACAAGAGTTTTTGAAATAGAGAAAAAGTGCTGTGCATTATGTTGAATAATGTTAAATGCTGTATGAACTTTGGCTTAGTGTTTTGATTTAAATATATCCCATTAAACCACTGGAGACTATTAAAATGTAGCAAACACATACCAGGTGGTATGGCTTTCCTGTGCAAACTATTATGTTGGAAATAACTCCCTGTCTCTTGCCAGTAGCCTTATGGTTTATTCTCTGCAGGCCAAGTTTAGGACTAAAACTTACAGTTGTACCCTGAAGTATTCATTAAACTATTAAAATTGCCAAAAAAGAAGAGAGATAAGAGGATGAAGGGATAAGAAAGGGAGATATCCTACCTGAGGCTCACAGTATGCACACCACAGCAACACTTTCCATCCTGGAATTCTAGAAAGGGAGACAGCTGGACATATTTTGCGGCTGTTTGCTCTTGTTCTCTGCTATTCCCTGCTTAAAATAGCTGCTTGCTGAGGTCTGTGTAGCTCTGGGATAATCTTATTATAGTGGATCCAACCCACAGCTACGCACACTTGTCCCATTTCTCATGCAGGCTGCAGCAGGCTATGCTCTACACTGGGGAATGAAGAAATCCATGGTATGAGACGTGAAGAAATCTGTGGTATGGCCACAGAACTCCAGAGCAACCAAATTACAGCAGTTTACCAAGTTTCCACCCTATTAAGTTATGTTGAGCAGTTGTAATAATTCATGTCTGCTCTTAATTTTTACAGCACAAAGAGACTTTCATGAAGTTTCCATCACCTAAATCAAACCCTCATGGTTCCATGAAAAAATTTACAGATTTTCTTCATCTTTCCCAATATGATGACTTTGGTATGTAATAAAGCAAGGTCCAGTCAAATTAGTTAACTTTTAATACTACAGTGTGGTTAAGAGCATGAAGTACTTTACAGCTTTAAACATTCAACATTAAACATTTAAACATTAAACTTTGAAGTACCAAAAAGGGATAATTTCCTCATCAAGAACTTTTACATTTGCACCAAAAAAAAAAAAAAAAGAGAGGGTTGTAGGATAATTTCATTTAAAAAATAACTTTAAAACATGAAAAGGAACTTTGTACTTTAGAATTAAGAAGGATAGGGACTAATGAATAATAATGTGAACAAGGCCAAAAATTTGAGAAAGGGAGAGGGCCACCAGCAACAAAATAGCATGTAGCAAAAGTCTGAAAAGAAAAATTTGCATATATCCTGACTATTATTCAAAGGCGGAAGATAAAAATGACCTTTGACCTTTTCTGGAAGCTTTTAAGGCTGGAAAGGGATAGGAAGAATGTGTCTAGAAAGGAGTCTCAAGTAATTTCATACCGAATAACAGAATTAGCTAGGTTGGAAAAGACCAGTGAAATCACAAAGTTCAACATATAGAGGGTGTTTCCTTGAACAACTCCTTTAGGAAAAGGAAAATAAATCTTACCATTTCAATGGGGATCAATTTTGGCAAGCTTTGGTCCAAGCCCTTGCACTTCATGGCATCCCATGCCTTTTGATGACTTTCACTTTGGCGAAATTTTTTTTTTCAGTATCCATGCCATGTCTCTCATATCTTCCCCTCAAAGTTCTGTCTTCCTCCTTGATTTTTTTTACCCTGCTTTTGCAGCATCTGTGAGGTTAGTTTTGGCATGTTTTGGTCCTTTGCACTGCACCTCATTAATCTCGGTCCATTTGCTTGTAGTCACAAAATGTCCCAATTTTCTGATTTTTTTGGTTTTACTTAGATTGCATTTCATTTGATCCTATCTCCTTTCCAAAGTGTTTGTAAGTCCTTTTTTTCTGTTTCTCAAGATTTTGTTTCCCTTCCCAAAAGGCAATGGAATTTCGGGAAGGGAAACGAAATTTTGCTAAACACAAAAGACTTACAAACACTTTGGAAAGGAGATAGGATCAAATGAAATGCAATTGAAGAAAAAAAAAGAAAGAAAATGGGGAGATTTAGTGACTACAAGAAAATTGTCTGGGATGAAGTGAGGTGCAGTGCAAAGGACCAAAACATGCCAAAATTAACCTCACAGATGGAGGTGTTCAAGGCAAGACTGGATATGGCACTCAGTGCCCTGGTGTAGCTGGCACAGTGGTGTTCAGTCAAAAGTTTGACCTATGACCTTGGCAGCCTTTTCCAAAGTCTAATCACCCTTTCTATGAAGAAATTTCACCTGATGTCCAACCTGAACCTCCCCTGGCACAGCTTGAGGACATTTCCTCTCATCCTGTTGCTGGTTGCCTGGGAGATCACTCCAGGCAACCAGCCCCATCTGGCCACAACCTCCTCTAAGAAAAGTTCCCCCCGAGCCTCCTTTTCTCCAGGCTAAACAATCACAGCTCTTTCAGCTGCTCCTCTCAGGACTTACCCTCTAGACCCTTCACCATCTTCATT